GGGAGAAGCAGACTCCCCGCTGAGCAGGGAGCCCGATGTGGGACTCGATCCCGGGACTCCAGGATCATGACCTGAGCCGAAGGTAGTCGCTTAACCAACTGAGCCACCCAGGTGCCCTCAGTATTCTTAATATACTGTTAAATTCTCCCATTTTGTTCAACACAACCCAAATCAAAGTCCTAACAAGCTTCTTTGTGTAGACACTATTGACAAGCTGATTCTAAAATCTGCATGGAAGGGCGCCTGGGTGGCTCAGATGATTAAGCGTCTGCCTTCAGCTCAGGTCATGATCCCAGAGTCCCGGGATCGGGTCCCACATTGGGCTCCCTGCTCCTTGGGAGCCTGCTTCTCCCTCTGCCCCTCTCTCTCTCTCTCTCTCTCATGAATAAATAAAATCTTTTAAAAAAATAAAATCTGCATGGAAAGGCAAAGGACCTAAAATAGCCAAAACAATTTTTTTTTTGAAAAGAACAGACTTAGATGATTCATATTATGTGATTTCAAGGCTTAGTTGAAAGGAACAGTAATCAAAACTATGGGTATTGGTAAAAGGACTGATACCTAGGTCAGTGGAACAGAAAGAGTCCAGAAATATACCCACATGAATGGAGTCAGCTGAGTTTGAACAAAGGTGCAAAGGCAACTTAGTGGAGAGAGAATCATCTTTTCAACAAATGGTGCTGGGAAGTGCACATCCATACGCAACAAAATGAACCTTGACACACCTGATACCTTATTAAAAAACTCAAAACGGATCATAGAACTAAATGTAAAATATAAAATTATAACACAGAAGAAAATAGAGGAGTTCTGTATTTTAGGTTTGAAAATATTAATTTTTATATCATGACATCAAAAGTGCAATCCATCAAAGGAAAAAGTTTTATAAAACCTGAACTTTATAAAAACTGAAAATGTTTTCTCTGTGAAAGAAAATTAAAAGATAAATTACAGACTGGGAGAAAATATTTACAAATCATTAATCATAAAGAACTTGTATCCAGAATAAAGAATTCTAAGAACTCTAAAAAAAATAAATCACCCAAGCTTTAAAAAAAAAAAAAAAAAAAAAAAATTGGACAAATTGGGGCACCTGGGTGGCTCAGTCAGTTAAGCGTCTGCCTTCGGCTCAGGTCATATCAGGGTCCTGGGATTGAGCTCTGCATCAGGATCCCTGCTCAGTGGGGAGTCTGCTTCTCCCTCCTCCCTGCCCCCTCTCATGCTCACGCACTCTCTCAAAATCTTAAAAAAAAAAAAAAGGACAAATTATGTGAATAGGTATTGTCATTTTTTTAATTGTTAGTGACCATACAGTACATCATTAGTTTTTGATGTAGTGTTCCATGATTCATTGTGTACAACACCCAGTGCCCCATGCAATACGTGCCCTCTTTAATACCCATCACCGGGCTTGTCACATATCTATTCACAGTGTTGAATAATAAGTAATACACTAGGAAAAGATGCTCCACATTAGTAACGTAAGTTAAAACCAGGATGATCTATCACTATCCACCTATTAGAATAGCTTAATTCGGGGCGCCTGGACGGCTTGGTCGGTTAAGCGTCTGCTTTTGGCTCAGGTCGTGGTCCCAGGGTCCTGGGATCGAGCCCCACATCAGGCTCCCTGCTCAGCAGTGAGTCTGCTTCTCCCTCTCCCTCCCCGCCTGCTTGTGCTCGCTTGCTCCCCCTTTCTCTCTCAAATAAAATCTTTCACAAAAAACAGAATAGCCTAATGTAAAAAGCTGACAGTACCAAGTGCTGATGGGGTGCAGAGCAACAGAAACTCATATTTACTGCTGGTGAGAGTGCAAAAACAATAAAACCCCTTTGGAAGACAGTTTGGAATTTCTTATAAAGTTAAACTTACACTTACCTTATGACCTGGCAATCGCACTCCGAGGTATTCCACCAAATGGACTGAAAACAAAACCCGTGTTTATAGCGGCTTCACTTACAATTGCCAAAGACTGGAAACAACCCAGATTCCTACAACAGAGGAGGAAAAAACAGATCCATCTATGCAATGGAGTACTACTCAGCAAGAAGAAGGGAATGAACTTGTGAGTCACGCAGCAACATGGATGGACCTTCTGTGCATTTTTCTACGTGTTAAGAAGCCAGACCCAAAAGGCGATGTATTATATGCTTCCATTTACAGGACTCTGGAAAAGGCAAACCTAGTACAGAAAACAGATCAGCGGCTGGGAATGGGGAAAGGGGTCAACTATGAAGGGGTCACACCAAGGAATTTTTAGGCGTTGAGATGGTCTTCCATGGCACCATGGTGGTGGATTCGTGAGTATGCACTCATCAAAACCCAAAGAACTGTACACACTCAAGAGTGACTTTGATTGTATGCATATTAAAATAAGGCCAACCAGGATTTTGGAGGGATTCCTGTTTAGAATGTAGGCTGTGATAAATGAACTCACTGGAATGCGTGGATAAGAAAGGAGCTGACCTTGTAACTTTGAAAAATGGTTGCTGACAGGATCGTGTCAGGCTAAAGACAAAAAGAACTTACAAAAACTGCTGAATTTCACAGTTTTAGCAGTTCTCAAAGTACACTAATGAGAAGCATGTTTAAGTCAGAAAAAGCAGTTAAAAATGAGTGTCAGAATTGACCTTGTGGAGCTGACTGGTGCCCGAGGTCACCTTCACATCTAGACCGCGTATTTGTGCACACTCAGGGTGTAGACACTAGAGTCCCTAGCTCCAGCCGAGAGGGCCACCTGTGCTCCTTGCAGAACTGTCCGATCCTAGAACTGGGGTGGCGGAATATGAAAGCACCTGGAGCACTGTGTACTGCCAGAGAGTAAAGAAGTTCTAAAAGAAAAAAGAAATGGAAAAAAAAAAAAAATGGAAGAATGGGAGCAGGGTCAAAAGGACACGAGCCAACCATCCACACTCATCTGAACAGAAGAATCCCAAGTCACAGATGGAGAAGAAATGAGGGAAACAGACTGTCACCGTGAGAACACCGCAGGCAACACCCACTGACCGACGAGAACCAGACTGAGTGGGCAACATGCTCAACAGAAAGTTTATCCGCGGAGCCTCCAAGTATCTCTCCCACGATACTTATTGATCACTGTCATAGTTTTCACAGCTGCTCCCAGTCTCTGGTCCTCCTCCCTCCAAGAGGTGAAGCTTATTTTCTACCCTTGAGTTGTAGGCTAGGCTTAGTGACCCAGCTTCTAACAGAGCAGGGAAAGTGAGAAATAGCAACTTCACTGAGAAGAACGTGGCGAATGCTGCCTTCGACAGACAACCGGGGGAGTAGGTCACACTGAAATGCGATGATGAGGGTGCATCAGCGCTGCGGGGTCGTTCCGAAAACCCCAGACCTTAGTCTGACCACGAGAAAACACCAGACAAACCCAAATCATGAGATGTTTACACAGTATCTACCCATTGTTCCTCAAAAGTGTCAAAAGTCAGCAAAGACAAGGAAAGATGGAGACTCTGTCAGAGATCGCAAGAAACTGAGGAGACCTGACCACCTAATGCAATGCAGCGTCCTGGAAGGGAACAAGCAATCTCAGTATAGGCCAGATTGGTAGTCTGCAGTTTAGTGAATGGCACCGTTACCAATGTTCATTTCCTAGTTTTGCTAAGTGTCCACGGTTCTGTAAGATCCTACTACAGGGATCTGGGTGAAGGGCACAGGCAAACTGCACTATCTTTGCAACTCTTCTGCAAAACAAAAATTATTTTAATAAAGCCACAGAAGAAAAAAAGTACATACTGGTAACAGATTCTGAAATTTAAGTATTATTAAAAGGGACCCAGACATGACTGAAGTTTACTGCTGGATGGGGATAAATGGTCACCATTAACTACTGAAGTAATCTCAGTATCAAACAAAAACACCCTCAGAAGAACAGAAATAATAAATCAGACTTCCTGGGCTCCATTCTCACCCTTGGTGATGATGTGCAAGAATAACTCACCGTCTTTGGGTTGATGCTGACATTTGTCAGAATACAGACTATTTCTAACCATTATCTGAACTCTCCGAGCAAAGGTAGTGTATGAAAATTTTCCAAAAACTTCGTATGAATGATAATGGCCTATTCCATGGCTTTAAAAGGAAATTAAAACCTATTATCCGAGCATCCTGAATTCTACAGGGAAGCTGGCTCAACAGCCTGTCAAGCAGGTTTCCTCCCTGGGAATAAGATATAAAGCAGCAAAGAGAGGCTAATGACTCCTCTCCACGCTGGACCTTTGCTTCCACCCCACCGTGCCTCCTGGGGACGTAAGGGTGTGGTGTTCACAGGTGGTAACTGCTGTAATTCTGCCTTACTCCCATCGAAGTCCACATTTCTGACAATACTGGTTTCCAGGAAAGAAATTCTCTTCTTAAAATACATTGTTTTATTTCCACAATTGCTTAAAATATTCAAGAAACAATGCAATTTAGCTAAAAATATTTATTCAAGGGGACAACATATAGTAATATATTTAAGGCACATGAAAAAATTTTGGCATTCAGTTGGCAAGAAAAAGAAATACAAATTATCCCGGTAAATTTCAGAATCGATTTCATTAGTACACATGGTTTTAAACAGCGTTTCGAGAGCACCGATAACTGATCTTAGATAAGGCACAAAGTTCATGACTCGGTGTCCCCATGCCTGAGCAGCTGCTGTCGGGTATATTCCCAAATGAGCAGAGCCCCACTCACATGGACGTTAAGCGAGCGGATAATGCCCTGCTGAGGAATTTCCACACAAACATCCAATTGTTGGATCAGATTTGCTGGAATTCCCTCACGTTCATTTCTGATGGAGAAAAATGGAAGAAGAGAGGTTAGTTTTCTTGTAATACACACACTTTTTTTCCTCAGAAATCCTGAATGTCACTGAAGAGTCAGATTAACAAAGTAAAGTGAAGTCTGTGGCACCAGGGAAATAACCAAGTAACACAGATTTATGGGTCGATCTAGGTTCACCTGATCATCCCAAACAGGTGAAATAAAACAAAAACTAGGGGTGTTTCCATAAACGTTACAAGTCAAAACTCCTGATATGGGTGTAACGTCAGGAGTCTCGGTGAACTGTAAAATTTCCGAAAGCATTTTCTAGACTGAGACTCAAAGGGATCTTCTTACCCCAACAAGAGCAGAGATCTCTCCGGAAAGCTGTACTGGGTCAGGTCTATGCTCTTGGCAGTCTGTTCCACACCAATGACGGTGTAACCTTCTGCTTTTTTCTGTTGCAGAAAATCGATGAGCTGAGGTGGTTTTACCTTAAAGTGAGTTTAAAAAGAGCAGAATAATAAATTATTCATTTACAGCCTTGGAGTAAAATCAGAGTTTCAAAAAAAATTTCATGAGACTATGTCTTTTTATAAGGAAAAGGAATTATACTCTATTAAAAAAAAATAAACTCCCCCAACATCAAATATATTTATCAAAAGTATTCCTGAGTTGCAACAGGATATATATTTACAGAATAGAAATCTAAAAATACAATAATGTGAGAGATCACAAAAGCAACGGGGGAACTAAGGGGGGTGTATTTTACTTTGAGTATTATTTTAAGCTATTAAAGGCTGGACAACTATGAAGTACTGCAAGAGGACTGATACTAGAAGACAGAGGACCGCAGAAGATTTCAGCAAATCAGCGTTTTACTAATATTACTTTCCACCCACCTCCACTAAAGGCAACCACTGCTCTGCTGAGACACTGAGGCCTTGGAACTGCTTGTCTCTGACGCACTGCAGGCTGCCCACCACCAGCGCCGAGGCCCCGAACACCTCACAGGTCCGGCACAGCCCTGCACACGATGGGCCGCGTTACTGCTGGCAGTCCTCCGCCCAGCTCACTATGGCCACACAGCCCCCCGCAGCTCCCCAGGAGGGTTAAATGAGAAAAATGGGCACAATGGCACTGGACCGATGACAAATTTTCAGGATCAAAAGATTTTAAGCAAGCCCGCTGGAAAACTGTAATTTTACCTCCTAAGTTAGTTGGTTTATCAATGAGCGAGGCTGCTACAATCAGTCTGCTAATCGACTTTCCAAGTTTGGCGACACGATCCTGAAATACTAGCTCCAGATCTAAATCTGGAGTGTTATTTTTCCAGGGGATAATCTTCTTCTGAACATCCATCCACTCTGACTGGCTATCTGCTTCGCCCGAGTGAGAACCTGGGAAGGAAGAGGAAATAATCCCATACATAAAAATCTATTTACACACACACACACACACACACACACACACACACGAGTTTTAAATGATAGTTTAGAATGAGATCCATTAACTAAAGAACTTTACTTGGATTCAGACACAACTGCCATTTTCAAGTCATTTTAAATTTTCAAATTGAACTCTAACAACCAATATACTACAACATTTCATGAAGTAGAAGATGCACTTGTTGTCTACATTTTAGCATATCCCAAACTGGGAAGCATCTTAGAATTCCACAGCGTATCCTAGTTTGGTATGATTTTAGCATTTTTTCTGAGAGGTCCATAAAATAATGGTGTATCTTACAAACAATAGGGTATTCCTGAAAACAAATATACACAGTCTTTATCCTAAATTATTTTACAAGTACTTGGAGAAACTCTCCTAAAATGAAGGATATTCTCTGAAGCAATTATCTCTTAACGAATGTGAGTAACCTGTCTAATGCAGTGTTCTGAGCTGTAGCACAGGACTGAGACTGTCCTTCCAGGCTCTTCCTCAACTGCTCTACTCCAAACTGCTGACCGAGCCACCAAGGAGCACTTAGCTTACCAGCACGGAAGAGAGATGCAGATACCAGAACACGGTACTATAGTGAGAGTGTGTAATGTCTGGGGGAGGGAGGGACGGGCAGAGACGAAGACCCAGGAAGGCTCAAACAGGAGGAGTCTGCAAACAGCAAGTGTGGGAGGGCAGTGCAGACCGTAGGGACAGGTGTGTACGTGCACAGGGTGTGGGAGGACGACGACCCAGGCAGCAGCAGAACTCCGGTGTAGCTCACAGCGTGCCATGGATGGAACACGATGGCTCAGACCATAAAAAGATCATGAAAGACTTGTACAGAATGATAAAGAACTTACTCTACAGATAGGAGCCATTAAAGGGTTTTAAGAAGGGGGATAAGAGGACTGGTTTTGTGTTTTAGGAAAAATCCCTCTTAAAAGTGAGGTGAAGATAAGTTGGGGCCTCTGCACCAGTCCCGGCAAAGACAAGGACAACCTAAATTAAGTCAAGGCAAAAGCAGCAGCAGCCAGATCTGGGAGGCAGAATCACCCCGATTTGGTAACAGATGAATGCGGCACAGGAGAAAAGAATGACTGAGGGGCACCCCTGACAGAAGGGGTTTATAGAGGAGGCAAGTGAGGGCAGCAAGGGAAATGCAACTCGAGAATGTTGAGTTTAAAGAGTTTATGGTGTATCTAGGTGCAAATGTCCAGCAGGCTCAGGAAAGAGGCCAGGCAGAGACAAAGAGGAGAAGTTACATTACGCAACTGGTGGTCTCAAGTTGGAGAAATTAAAAATGTTCAGGGACAAGCATGCAGAATGAGGAAACCAGGCCAATGAACACATTCCGGGGATACGACCAGTGAAGTCTTGGCATAAAGACTGCATTGCAATACCCCTCTCATTTCCACACACCAGACAAAACAAACAGAGACCTCCTTAGCCTTTGCCCCACCCAAGTGACACGTGGCTTCTCTGCTCCGCCCCGCGGCCCCCAACACCATACGTGGGGAGGGCCCACGTATGCTCTCCTCCCCTCCCCTCGTCTCTGTTCAGCCCGCCCCAGCGGGGCTGTCCCCACCACACTGATGAAGTAGCTTCTGTCACCATTTCTGCCCTCAAATCTCCCTGTTTGAGGTCCTCTGTTTTGGGAAAGCTCTTCCCTCAGGATCTCTGCTCGACTGCTCGCACTTCACGTGGGTCTCTGCTCAACGTCAGCTCCCGAGAAAGGTCTCTTCGATCTTCTGGCACTATCTCTACCCTGCTTTGTTTTCATGGTGCCTTTTACGTAGGCATGAATGCAAGCTGCCTGAGGGCGGGGACCTGGCCTTAGGTCTAGACACAGGAGGCAATCGATAAATCTTGGTTGAAGGAATAAATTTAAGGTGATTATGTCTTAAAATGTATTAGTGAACCATCTAGATGTGTAATAAAAAATGCACTTTCCCAGAACTCTCCTCCAGACACACTGAATTAAAATCTAAGGGCGGGGGACCCAAGTATTTGTACTTGACGCAAGTGGTCCGAGGGGTTCTTGGAAACGTTAAAATTTGAGAGAACGACAAATACACAGGACAGAGAGGGACCTGCTGGAGAGGAGCGAGGAGTCAGGTGGAGGAGGGAAACGAGGACAGCAAGAAGCCAGCAAATGAACGCCTCGTAAAGGGTAGGGGTGACGAGAGAAGAGCGCCCGCCGAGGCTTCACGGAGGAGACAAAGACCACTTCTGATGTTCTGGGTCAGGGAGAGCGAGAACGACGACCAAAGGAGCGGCAGCAGTGAGGAGAATCGCGAGAGCACTGCTCCGCGGCCAGTAACACCAGCTGTGGTTTCAAGGATGGGTGGGAGACTTGGCCCTGGGTCTTTCCAGGGCTCACCGGACTGTGCAGGAAAACAGGGAGGAGGTGAGCAATCGAAGGAACTGTGCATCCTTCAGAAAGCTGAAGGGCAGCAGTGTCACAGAAGGTGGAGAAACAGGAGGGAGAAGGCCGCACAGATGAGTGAGGGCCAGCCAGAACCACAAAGGACGAGAATCAGGAGCTCTTGCTTTATTCCTAAATGGGCCAAGAAATGAGATTTCATAATCTGACCCTTTTTAAAATCTGTACTTTTACAGACATACATAATGGAAGAGCAGTGAATATTAATTAACAATAATATTTCAAAGAAAAGGGAAGTTACTAGCTTTATATAATAAAGCAGATCAGGCTCTCCTTGGCTTTTCATAGCAAAGCCAAACAATTAAAAATACCAAAGTTACAGCACTTTTCACGGTCTTTAAGTGGAGAAGGAGCAGACTTCACCGCATCGGTGAAAAGTGGCGTGATTATCTCTCTGTTCTCAGTAACTGAAGCGAGGAAGGCTATCCAAGTCAACAAGCGGGAGAAAAAGAAAACATTTCTTTACCTATGTCCTGCTGAGCCCAGTCACCCGGTTTTAGTTCACAGAGGTGAGTTGGCGAAAGGTACCACTGAAATCCCGCATCTAAAGGAATGTCAGTGAATCTGGTAAATTTACCAATGGCAATCCATTCGTCTTCAACCAGGCCTGAAAGGCGTGGAAGGATGTAAAATATGGTCTGAAAAGAGAATGGTAAAATCTAAATTTTTTCCCCTTGAACAGAACAAAGAAATACATGGAAACATGTTTATAAAGTACAACTTATTTACTATTATTGATGTATTCTCCCAGACTATCACAATTACCATATTATATATGTTCATTTATATCTGGTAGCAACTGTCCATACATATTTCTCATCTTCTCTAAGCCATCAGGGGATTAACTTAGGAAATGCTCGAGGGCAGACAGATCTTCCACTTGGGTTTTTCTCACCGTATGTAATAAACCACTGTGCTCTCGATAAAAGCAAAAAGTGTTTTAGGATTAATCAATATCAATGTTGGGCAACATTTAGCTCAGGGCTATTTGTTGATAACTGAACACCTCCATAAGCGATCGAGTTCAAGCTCTTTTGATGCCAAATCTTTCCTCTTGCTACCATTAGACAAATTTGGAATTGGAACTTTGTCTTGACTGTATATTAGCTGTGACGTCAGACAGACCACTTAGCCTCTCTTGGCCTCAACCTCCTCATTTGTAAAACGAGGATAAAATCAGGTTAAAATAGCCCGTCGAGGTTGAGTAAACCGAGTGTGACACCCCTGGGCACGGTAATTGCTCAGTCATCACAAAAGCAATCCTCCTGGCCTTTTCTTACCTACTAAACGGAACAGAACCAGAAAGTAAGTCATCAAAGGTGAAAAGGTGCATACAAAACAGAGGCACAAGTAACAGAAAATCTAAAAATGAAACCGTAAACGTGTGACGATGCACACGTCTTCACAATGGTTTCTGGAACGAAGAATGGCTTTCTGCACGCTGGCGCCACATGATGACTGCCACGCAATGCTGACTGAGTAGGAACCGAGCTCAGTCCGAATGCAGAACGAGGCAGAGTTCTAGCGAGCCATCATGTTACTTCCACGGGCAGTGATGGCTCGGATCGTTAACGGAGGAGAAAATACACAGAAGGGGGGGACAGTGAGGCATCGGGGACAGAGATGAAACAAAGAGGGAAGGAGGGACTTACTCCTGCTGGTGAACGGAACAGAAAGGGCTGACTTAGCACTAGAGGCCCTACTATGAGTCCTTCAGAAAGGCGCCAAAGCATTCTGGGCGCTGAAGAACACAGAACAGAGCATGTTAAAATAACTGAAAAATCCTGCATTTTGCAATGAAGTCCACAGCTGCCCAACAAAGGGCATAATATTCCGTAGTGAATATCTCACAATATACAGATTGATTTTCTTTTTATCGCATATGCACAGCAGCTACAGTCCCTGCGGAGAAGTCCTACAGGTCACATGTTTTAAATTCAAAGGTAGAACATTCTATTTATAGTTGAAAAAGGGAGAATGATATAATTCATACAGATCTTAATAATTTGTATATTAATTCATATGCTAATTGTAATAAACACGTTTATGGTTCTTAAAATTACATGAACACACTCGGCTACGAGAAGGTGGTGTATCATGCGCTACACGATTCTCGTCACCCAGAACTGAAACACTGCAAATTTAACAAAAGAACAGATCTTTTTGCTCTTTCATTAACAATGGGCTTCATTACAACAAAATCTCACCTGCACAAATGTTCTCACTCATTTCCTTTTAATGTCTGAACAGATTTCTGTTTAGAGTTAAATATTCCCCCTTCCAGAGTTTACAAGCCAGACACTGCCTGAGGAACAGAAAGTGACAATGACTAGCCAATTTTCACCGCTTACGAGTGAAATGTAAGTCATCTGCATGAAGTAACAAAATTAAACTTAGAACTTTACAACATGAAGGTGAGGTTGTAAGGGGGAAAAATTCACCTAATTATAACCCCAAGAACTGTGGCAGACAGGAGGCACCGGGATTAAAAACACAGTAAAGAATTTACGAATGACACTCTCTGCTCACCTCCAGACAATAATCCTGCACTGGGTGAAATGTTGCAAAAAAGAAATGCTCCTGGATGCGTTGCCAATTCTTCTGGGCATTCCTAAGGGTGAAAAATACGGTATGAGGTACAGACAAGTGAGACAACTCTGGCGGTGGTGGGTGGGGGGGGCGATCAATTGGATAATCAGAAAGAGGTCCTGCAGAGTTTAGAATGAAAGGGAAATTTTGTGAATTTTATCTGAAGATTTATACACCCCTCCCTCCTACATCAACATGCTTTAAAAACACTGAGTTTGACCTTTTGAAATGAAAGTCAAAGACAAAGAAATAACTGTTTCAGAGCCTTACAACAAACAGCTACTCAACAAGAAGCGAACCCTCCAGCAGAAGGTGCAGAGGCCCGTGCTCCGGCAGAGGTGATGGGGAGCGGACGTGGCCGTCCACTGGCACTGACGAGGAAACCACAGATGGACGGCTTACGTGCTTGGGGAAAAAGAATTCTAAAAGGGAACTACAGGAAAAAAAATAGATAGATAGATAGGAACTATGTAAGAAATCTGGGTTGTAGTCTTCAAGTCTCCATCCAGCAGTAAACACTTTTTCTACTCTCAAGATCCTAACACACAGCCCAACTGGACCAGCATTCCCGAACCAAACAAACGTAATACGCGCAGGCTGTAAAGTCTTAACCACATCTGCCAAGTTGTAAAAGGCAAAGGGGGTAGGGATAAAAATTACAGAACACGACAGGCAGGTTTCCGTTTAAATTCATGATAAACAGCCCAAAAGCAAAGTAGCAATTTCAAGGCATTTTCCTGCAAGATGGTTCTCGTGTGATGGCTCCCTGACCCCCCAGCACCCCCAGCCCCTCTGCGCGCCTGACAGCCGAGCCTCCGCAGCACTGGGGGGAGAGAAGAGAGCGTTCACCTCCCGCGCCTCCTACTACCTGCCCTCTCGCCTCCTACTACCTGCCCTCTCGTCCCCTCGCCGCAGGGCTCCAGATCCCACTCGCTCAACTGTCCCCTCGTTGCTACTGAGCCTGTTCAAAGGGCTGTCTGTCTGATCAAAGGAAGCAGCATACCACAGAGCCTTCGGTCGGCGCGGGAGAGAGAGCTGGGGGCAGTGGGCAGCGTGGGAAGAAAAGCCACTCAGGAGAGAAACCCCTCTGGGGGGAGGAAGGGCAGGGACAGGGGAAGGAGATGGTCTGGCCTTGACCTGACACCTTTCCTTGCTGTTTGACTTCCTAACCGTGGAACCCTTATTTAAAACAACTAATGTGACTGAAAAGAAAAGAAAAGCTCTCCTCAATGCACATTGCTGCTACATTTCACAGAGGAGGTTTTGGAGGGAATTAACTTGGCTGTGTTTTACCTTCTTCACCGTCCTTTTTTTTTTTTTAAATTTAAGACATGAAGTATTTCAAATATTCAAGTAAAGAAATGAACAGACAGCAATGAGCCTATGCCCGGATTGAACAGATAACATATTGTCCCAACCACTCCTAACCCACGTTAATTTGGTGTCCGCCCCACCAACGAGGCTGCTGACACGGCTCTCGCTTAAATCCAGTGGGCGCTTTTAGGCTCTCATTTCGCTTACTTCAAACCCGTCCATTTCTCCGCACCCCACTCATCTAACACACCATCTCCTCCCATTTTCTATGGCCTGCCTCTGATCTGCTCTTCCTACTTTGAAAAATGGCAAAAGCAAACCAGTAGAGATCATGTCCACATTTAACCAATCTGCTCACCGGGAACCCAACTGGCCTGGCCTCCACCCTGTCCTGCCTGCACTCACCGCTCTCGAGCCGGACCAGCCCCGTTCAGCCACACAGCCCGCCTCGGTGCTGCCCAGAAATCACCGTCCTCCACTCCTCGTCTGCCTACTTCCTACCCATCCTTTACAGCGCAACTCACATGTTATGTTACTTAGAAAAGAGTGTGCACTTTCTCATCATAATCTTTACTTTTCCACTGGAGGACCTATCACGATTTAAGTTATTTTCTTTGTGTGACTGTTCACTTGCTGTCCCATCCACCCTGGCTGGGAGCCACACGAGACTGGGGCATCTACCTGGCCCGCTGCCGATGCCCATTTTGTGCCATGCACAAAATGACTCTGCTGTGTATTCGAAAAGCAGGGATGGTCTAATGCCCATGGTCCTTTATTTTCACTGGTTATGTCTCCTACCCGGTACTAGGATTTTAAAAGGAGTAGGTTATTTTGTAAAAGGGTGTTTTACTGCTTAATAAAAAGGAGCTGAACCAACTGTTTTTAGAAATCAAAACACAGCTACCCAGGAACTTTGAATAGGATCAACCACCAACCAAAACACTGCAACACCATACAATAAATCATGATTTCTTCATAGAGCAAACTATAAACTGACAAATGCCTATTCGCATGTAAAATTTATTTAATTCCCTCACCCTTCCTTCCACTGAGGGACTGCAGTGTGTACACACCCACCAAGGAGAAATGGGACATTCAGGATTGCCTGAAAAGATCAGGAATTCTAGCTGCTGGAACATACCTGGAAAGGTGGGGGCTGTAGGCACTGCTAAGGTGAACAACTCATTTTAATAACTAGTCTTAGCTGGGACCAGAACTTGAGGCGGCCGTCTATACACCCAACCGTGTACAACGAATCAGAGGCATCTAGCTCCTTCCTTTGCACTTTGTCCCTCACCTGTAACCTGTCCTATGTTCCCACCTCTCTCCTCCGGTTTTCTCTGGTAGCCCATGTAATTATATTTTAGTATTTATATTATATTTGCTGAATTGAGGATCTTCCTCCTGAACTGCCAAACCTCCTTGGCCCAATCACCTAAATGCTCTTTTCAACCAGTGGGTCGAGAGTAAAAGCATGCAGAAGGGCTGGGAAGGCAGCTTGTGGCCACGGAAGTCCTCCGTCCTGGCCCCACAGGGAGCTTCGCGATGACTCACAGTCTCAGTTACCACCTGTTACCTTGATGGTCAAGCAAAGACCCCCTGTACGTTACTGGTTGTCCAAACACTATTTCATATTCTTAACACGCTGCTTCCAACCTTTATCTGTTTATAAAAATTTGTGAGTGTTTTGAGCGTCTGGAAAGAAACCTTTTATACTGATTGATAGTGCCTGGGTCTCTGAAAATTATAAAAATCTGGGCATTCCAGGATAGTGATCATCAATGATAGTAAGAGAAGAGTAAAACAACAACAACAACACTCCCTGAGAGCCGGGGCAATCAGTTCAGATACCAGGAGACACTAGGGGACCCCTGCCTGCCCTTGTGTGGTGTGAGCAGGGCCGGTAGAGAACGCGGAGCCGTGCAGCCCCCTCCTGCTCCGTCCACAGCACAGCATCGTATCTGCTTGATATTGAGTATCTGTGCAGGATTTTGTCCAGGAAATAAAGACAGTCTCTAAGAAAAGGAAAAGAAAAAAGCTTCCATCATCTTTAATTAGTACAACTGAGGGGTTGAGAGCATGTCTAAAGCCAGATTGTTCTGCTTCGCAGCACTTCTTTGACAACAGAGCACACTGACAGTCAGCAATACCGAAGATAGAGATATCTAAAGGTGTGTAAAAGATTATTTATAAAACAAAGGACCAAGGATAAGAAAGCAAAGAAAGGTCAAGACGGAGCTGACCACACTTAGAACCGTAACAAAATCCCGCTCTGCCTCGTCCGAGCTCTGCTCTCCGAGCACGATGGAATAATGAGAAGCTCACAAGGCCGAGGGACCTCTTGGTCACCTCTATGTGCTCTGCCGGAAGGAAAGTGAAGGGTACGAGCTTTGCTTACCCTGTTCCAGGCATGTTTTCCACCTGGTTGAGACTGGATTCAATAACAGAAGTCAAAGCATCAAATTCTTCAACGTGCAGGGTCTTACACATGCTCCAGATCTTCTTAAGGGCGACTAAGGCATATAGTCGGATACTAAAGTTGTGACTGAAGCACCACTGCAGCACGATAATAAGGGCTTGCTTCAGAATTGGTTTCTGGAAAGAAAGGGGGAAATTCTTCACATGCACACATGGAGTGTTCCACCCCCGGTTGTGTGACCACCAAGTGGACAGAAGGTAAAAATGCTGCACAGTCCAGCTCCCACTGGTTCTGCGGGAGCAGGGCTCCTCCTTCCTTCGTAGACACATTAGGTGCGCTGGCATTAGCGATTTCCTCGAGGAAGAAAGATGCTCCCAGCTCTTTTGTGTCCGTTTACGAGGCGGCCGCAGTCCATGTCCCCCACACCGCAGCACCCGGGCTAGCGTGGACGGAGCGCCTTCACGCTAGCCGCCATGCCCCCACAATGTGCTAACAGCAGCCCGCTGGGCTGGAAATGTCAGAAAGGTTCTCTGAGCCCTCCTTCTGCTGCACTTCCAAGTGCTTCTAAAGCCAGGGACCTCCTATGGTGCTGTTTTCCTCCTTGTCTTTGTGAACAACTGTTTCCCTCATGATGCTCTTGGACCCGCAGAGTGCTGAGGGGTGGCAGGAAAATTAAAAAGTGGGGAGAAAAATAATAAATGTCTTAACTTCCCTGTAGTCTTTTCCTGTGATTTCGGACTGTTCCATCTTCACAGCCTGATTTCAGGCAGCGACAGTCCCTGACTTCCCAAACCACAGAGTTCCACAGACCGTGAAAGGCAAAGGAAGTGACCCAGATTAATGCGGAAACCAGATGGATGCAAACTTTTAATAGAATATCAGGAGCTACCTCGATGCTCGTACCAAATGGCTCATCTGTAAACGTTCGCGGGGCTGCACCTAGCTGAGAGAACTACGGTTTCTACTAAGAACAACCGTGCTCACGGAAGACTTTACCAACTCACTGCATGGTTAACAGCGCATTTCAATCTCCCAAAGCTTCTGTTAGAAGGACAAAATACAGATATATATGATCCTCTTTATTCCAGTCCTTTGTTCAAAGTACGGTCAACATTTATCAAAGGTCGCTGTGCAGTCAGCGTCACAAGGACACCAGGGGGAGGATACGTGAATATATACATACGTAACTGTAACATACATCTGACCATCCCCGCGTGAGGAGCAACTTGAACAAACACCGTGCATACGTATGCGCAGCAAGGTCAAGTGCAGGAACTAGTCAGATGGGCCCAGCAAAAAGGCTACGTGGAGGAAGAACAATTTTTAAGAAGAGGAACAAGGAAGGCTTGCCATACCAGATACAGATCTGAGAAAACCAGGAAATGCAGCACAGAGAAAACAGATGTACTTGGCTAGAAGGAAGACAGAAATGTCAGGGGTGGCGAAGGAAAGCGGCAACTTCTGAATGATACACAGTTAAGTATTTACTTGTATTTAGAAGTTGAGGGCGCCTGGGTGACTCAGTCGGTTAAGCGACTGCCTTCGGCTCAGGTCATGATCCCGGAGTCCTGGGATCGAGTCCCACATCGGGCTCCCGGCTCAGCGGGGAGCCTGCTTCTCCCTCTGCCACTCCCCCTGCTTGTGCTCTCTAGTAAATAAAAAAATCTTAAAAACCTGTATCACCATCTGACAGTATAACATCTATTTATCATCTTTCCCTGCACCAGAATGACAGTGGAGACGGTTCTGTTCACTGCAGAATTCCTAGGACCGGGAACAAGCCACCAGGACACACGAAAGGCACAGGACAAATGCTGCAGGGAGGAGGAGGGACGACCGCTCAAAGAGCCCCTCCAGCAGGGCCTGTGGCCAGTGACCTACACTAAAGCCCCATCCCCGAGGCCGGAGTCTTCTCCCCAAGGAGCAAGCGCTTCCTCTCCTCTGAGCAGCTCACACTGCTCTCCCGGCCCTTCTAAACCTTTCCACGGTGGCTTCGGAGCCCTCCTCCCAGGACGGTCTCCGACCCCTCACTAACCTTTCTCTCCCCGCCCCCCCAAGTCACCAGAGGGTCTGCGTCCATGCCAGTCCTCCACGTGACATTCAGGTCATCGCTTCCCTGCCATCAGAGACACAGCCATGGGGAACAGGTTTGCCAGAGTCCACCCCTTGTCACAGAACCTGTAACTATTCTTCTTTCTAAAACCTTAAAAGCAGGTATCCCAACTTCTTTTTTTTTTTTTTTTTCAAGTTATTTATTTGTTTTAAAGAGGAGTGGGAAGGGGCAGAGAAAGAGAACCTCAAGCAGCCTCCCTGCTGGGCATGGAGCCTGACACAGGGCTTGATCTCACCACCCCGAGGCTGTGACCTGTCACAATCACCTCAGCCCATCTCCTACCCCACCCGGCTCCCTGCCGTACTCCTCATGGAGCTCGTCCCAGGCACACGCTCCCTGCTGCTGGATACTGTGGGTAAAGCCCTTGCCTTTCCTGACCTCTGCGGGCACTCCGCCGTCTTGGTCTTTCTCTCCTTGAAAACAGTTCTTCCTATGACCTTTAGGACACCCCATTCTTAAGGCCGCCCCCCTCGCCCTCCCATGTTCCTTCTCAATCTCCTCTTCTCCTGTCCCTTAAATGCCGGCGTGGCTGTGGGCTCTGTCCCTGGCTTCCCTGTTTTGTCAGGCGGCACATGCCCCCCGCGCTCGCTCCCACGGCTTCAGTCCGGTCAGGGCTCCCAAGCTTGGGAGCCACAGCACGGCTACGTTGCCTCTCTCAACTGACAAGTTCCTGCGTTCGCTGCGAGATGTTCCTCGCACGCAGCTGCAGGAAATCACACAGAGGTCCCCCGTGCCCGGAGTGCTTTGTCCAGTGTCCCCTCCTGCTAACATTCAGCAGATCACGGCACAGCATCTCAACCGGGACACGGTCACTGACACAATCCACTGATGAAATCTGACTTTCCCCAGTGTTCCTTGTCCTCAGTTGTGCGTGAGGTGTGTTTGTTTGCAGGTCTAGACCATTTTGTCACATGTGTGGGTTCACAGAGCCAGCATCACTGTCACGAAACTGAACAGTTCCAACGCCCAAGGATGCTCCCTGTTGTCCTTTTATAACCACCCCCTCTCCTTCCCACACTCCTCTCCCCACAGCCACTTTGTATACAACTGGCAGTGTTGTGAAAATATTTGAACCTTAACCTGTTAGAGGTTAGCTGCAGACACGGAATCTGGTGGCTAGCTCGACAGAAATGGATCTTCATCGCAGAATCACTGGAAGCACTGAAGACATGGGCTCTCGGCTCGCAGCTGAGCAACCAGGAGCTACACTGCGGAGCCAGGCGACCACCACTCTCCTCCCCGACCGGAAAGCCGCGGCGACTGCGTGCAGGGGCCTACCGTGACTCGCACAAGCAGAGCCACAAGCCGTGTTCACCGAGCCAGGACCCTAGGCCCCAGCTGACACCATCCCAAGGGAAATAAAGGCCCCCACGACTCAGCTTGTCAGCAGAGGCCCGCTTCTGCTTCCAAATCCTATGCAAGTGCGGACGACCTGAACCCCTGACTACACAATGTTTTCAAAATAGAGGTTTCTGTGTCCTGGGCTCAGCAGAAAGAAGGTGTGGTGAACCCCGAATCTTCAGCAGGGGCACCAGAGCACCCTGGTTCATCCACAGCCCCTCCATGCCCCCCGAGCTAACGTCCAAGTTGTATTTCCTAGTTGAACGTCTTCCTGAGCCCCAGAGCCCTACATGCACCTGCTGCCTGCCATGCCCCTGGGGCTCCCCACGGGTGACAAACCCACAATTCCATCCACTCATCACCATCCTCTCGGTCTGCTCTTTGCGCTGCTTCCTGCTCCGGTGAAAGGCACCACCGACCCTGGCGGCCCAGGTCACTTCCCTGCTTCCTGCCTTCTCGCCACCAAAGCCATCCACTGAGCCCTGGCATTCCTTGCTAGCACATACCTGTCACATCCATCCATCTGTCACCTCCACGCCATGTCCCACCACAGCTCATGTGACAGCACGAAGATCACTACAGTAGCTTCCCAACGGTTTCCAGATTCGTCCCCATGACTAAACCAATCCTACACACCATACTCACAACACACAAGTCTGGTCATGTCACCCTTCTGCTTAAAATTCAGCAGCATCTCCCCAACGCCCTCTGGATAAAGTCTAAATTCCTCGCACAGAGAGCATTTACGGTATGTCCATACTGTTGTGGAGCTACTTGTCCAAGTTCACACACCAAGGAGAGGTAGTGCTAAGATGTGATGCCAGGTCTCCTTGACTCACATTCTGTGCTAATAACCTCCTTGGCCTGCTTTACAAAGGCCCTTCCGCGCTGGGCCCCGCCCGCTCTGCAGCCTCCCACTGGAGTCTCCAGCGTCTTCCCGATCTTGACCACGCCCCGCTTCCTTGCACTAGCCTGCTCCCCTGCCCTGTCCCGCAGGGTCTCTGTGTTGAACCCGAAGTCCTCCTGTGGGCTGAGATCCGGAGGTCTCGCGGGTGCCCCCACAGCCTTCTGCACTTCCCCCACCACACGCTCCTAGAGCTGCATCTTGCTTCCCTACTTCCACGGTCCAGGGCAGTGCTCTGTTACAGGAAGCCCCAAAACCGATCCCGAATGAATGAAATAGAAGCCTTGATCCCCAGATCTGACAGGCACAAAGGAGGACTAAGGACGATTCTGAGAGGCGAGAACGTAACTTCTCTGTTATTTAATCCTTACAAAGATACCGCACAGTAGGTAGTACTACGTCCAGTTTACATCAAAGGAAAACTGGAGGAATCAAGTAAAAACACCCACCTTCCCCTTCAAATTTCTCATTGCTCTCCTATAACCTTAATCCTCACTCCGTGCTTTACTCAGACGTCCTCGGTCTTTACTAACGTCCTTGTCCTGTTCCTAATCCATCCAGGACACCTGACCTCCGGTTCTCGTGTCCCCTTACTCTCCTCTTGGCTCTGCTTGTTTTTGATGACCTCGTCAGTTTTGAGGAGCAGTGGTCAGGCTGGCTGGGATACGGGTGATGTTCTTCTCGTGCCTAGACCGGGGTTACGGTGTTGGGGAGGGAGACCACAGAGGCCATTTCCGCCACATCCTACCAAGGGCACGGACTATGGTACGAATTACCGCCGTCACGGGCGCCCCCTTCCATACTCTGCTCTCTGGAAGGACATCGCTAGGACAGCCCACGCTGGGCTGGGTGGTTATGCACGCCCCCTCCTTGAGGCCAGAGTGACCACATAAGTTATTTGGAATTCTGCACAGGAGGTTTGTGGTCTCTCCCATTTGTTTATTCAATCATTCACTTATATCAGTAGAAACTCGTGAATATTTATTTTATTGGGTTGTAATCCAGTGTTACTGTATTGTGTTGCTTGTTTCAGCTTTCGCCACTAGGAGGTCTCCTGGCCCCTGTGCCTCTCTGCAGATCCACCCCACGTCCCCGTGCCCCCCCACCCAGGGCACTACTTTTCTATTTACCTCGTGTATTTTCTGCCCCAGTTCTAGAATCAGCTGTTTCTCCAAGAAGACTTGGTTCCTTTTATGAGACAATGGTATTAGAAACCAAGATCTGGGAGCTAGGTATAGATTACTTGTAAGTGCAAAAAAAAAAAAAAAGAAAAGAAAAGAAAAAGAAATACCCAGTATAATTCTCAACAGGGAATACAATCCTTTTATGAATCCTATACTCAGATACACTAGTACTGCCTGTGATCATTTGCCTTGGCCAAGACTAAGATACACACCATTCGGGACTGAACACCAGTAATGCCATTTCACATTACTGACGAGGTTTGGACACACTGAACAAGATGACAGGACAATACACAACCATGAGCACACTAAGGAAGGGTGTTTTTCCCCTACGCTTTCGATCTCCATAGAACATTTAGCATTCTGCCCTCTGTCCTGTTTGGCGGTAGTTTTGAATCTTCTCTGACTACTTAGCACAGACCCGTACAAGTGCAAATATTTCCATACTTTGAGGAAAATGGAAAGTCCTGAGTGACTATTTCCAAAAAGTCTTTGAACAAAAACACATGTGTTAGGTAAAAGAGACTTTGCCACAGACACCGTGAAAGACATGGACATAGACTAACAAAGCATACTAGTCTGGTCTTTCCTTAGATAGCTCCATTTAGATTTCTTATTTTTCCAGAAGATATTGAAATTGAGATTATTCTATTCCACTAATCAGCATTCCTTCTTCTGGATGCTTTGAAAATAAATAAACCTAAAATATGTAATATACAGCGAGTATAAACAGAGCTGAATGGGAAAATAACCTGTTATTGGGGCGCCTGGATGGCTCAGTCATTTAAGTGTCCAACTCTTGATTTCAGCTCAGGTCATGATCTCAGCGTCATGGGATTGAGCCCCACGTCGGGCTCCGCACTGAGTGTGGAGCCTGCTTGGGATTCTCTCTCTCCCTCTCCCTCTCATAAATGAATTAATGAATAAATTATAACCTGTTATTCCAGATTTAGTAGAAGCATCTCCTAAGATGAATTCATTTTTAGAACTTGTCTGAACGGTTCTTGAGTTATTTCAGCCACCCTGACCGAAGACAGTTCCTTATCTACCCTGCCCCTCTCGGTAGATGGCAAGCAAATCTCTTTCCTGAACATATTTAAGATAGGAAGGTAACATGTGATGTTACCTGATGATACAGCTTGCCTGATTTCAGAAGAGGCTGTGAACGCAATTTAAGGGAACTGTAACTCACACACTGCCATCTGGCTGACAGACGCTGTAAGACACCTGGGATTTCAAGATCTCAGGATTTTAGGAGTGAAATTGTGGTGGGGGAAAAAGATCTCGGTCTTAGAATTCATGAAATGGGTTAACAACTAAATTTGATTCTTACCACTGTCTAAAAACAAGAATACTTGGAGAAATTCTAGGAAACCTCTTCTCCCCTGTATTTTTCTTTTGCTTTCAACACCAAACAACACTTCTTATTCCATATATTCAGGTCTCTCCCAGAGTTCACAGCTCAGTGCACTCTTCCCTGTAGACTCAGTAATGGAAGAATCTTGCTCTACATCTCACTGGCAGGACTTCCCGAATTCTTAACCGCTTTGCCAAAGTGATTAACCAGAATTAGCTACGATCTCTACTTGTCTGTGGGGTAAACCATTAGGGAGACTGCTCGAAGCCTGAGAAAGAGAGAAGAACTGGATTCACACTCCAAACGGTGACCCACAGCACATCAACCTTCAATTACCCAAGAGCTTTTAATACTTGGACCATAAGCATCTTTGCATGAGTACCTGTTCAATAACTACGTCAGTCAAGGAACAGTTAAATGCAATAAAGGAAATCTTACTTAAATCATCTTATGTAAATACTTGTATAAAGTTAAGAATCTATCGCTAGAAACTGCCCATCAGTCTGTCTACAGATTTAGGATGGGCTCAGGCACGCACGCCTCGGTGTGTATGTGTGCAAGTGCGTAACACCTGCCTGTGGGTTTGTGTCTAAGTGCGTGTGCACAGTAGGTGAGTAGTGGGAGGGAAGACGAGAAGTGGCAAAAACCACAAGAAATACTCTACATTTAAAAAAAATTAGTACAAATATATACAATTCTGTTTTGTAGGTTTAAACTCTTCTTACCATTTAAACTCACCTTTTCTGGGATATTTTGAGTGATGATGTCCAAATGTGACAAAACGGATAAAAATGTACAAATGCTTGTTTTAAAGTTTTCTTCACCCTGAAAAAACATCAGATAAATCAAACAGTCACTCAAGGCTTAATGTGACGCCATGGGGCCCAGGACGGCGACCGTACGTGAGGCGGGATGTGACGGAGCCCCGGCCTGGACGGGGATCCTTCCACAGGAGGGAAGTAACTTCCGGTAGCCAAATACCAACACAACACTCAGCAGGCATCACAAGGTAGGAACTGACTTAACTGTGGAGAAAGTGGTACAGCCAAGGGTGTGCTCACCTCAGAAGAGGCGCAGACGGCCCAGGGGAGCAGGAAGGAAAGAGAACAGTCGAAAAGTGAGTAATATGAACAAAGTCAGAGGTGACAGGAAGGTGGCGGCAGCGAGGCAGCAGTTGGGGGGCCGGCGGTGGGGGGTGGTGCGGACGGCAGAGACAGGCTCCAAAGTTAGACGGGAACTTGCAGAGGACTTTAGAGCCAAGGACAAAAAGCTATGTAAGTGTTCAACTGGGATGCAGAAACCTTCCCAATTACAGGGATTTGGAAGAACACATCATTCTAGTGATAATAAGCTGATGGACCCCAGATAGACTGGAAAGGAAAGAGACTACAGACACTATCGTCCAGAAACTGCTCCAAAGGCAGATTAGATGATTTATTCAGCTATGAATGTCTTCTACATGCCAGGTACTGTGCCAGAAATCAGGGAAAACAAAATTAGATAAGGTTCCTGCCTTCAAGGAGCTTAGTCTAGTGGGTTGGAAGGACAAAATCGCAGAATAAATTAAAATTCCAATTATAACAAGCACTATTTACATGCTACAAAAACCTCTAATAAGGGGATCCAAACCATTCTTCCTTTAAGAAATGACACAAAGGACGTATGGACGGAGATCTAAAGGCAGCGAGACACTTCTGTCGATGAAGAGGAAAACGGCCATTGCAGGGAGAGGGCACAGCACGTGCAAATGGCCTGAGAGCCAGAGGACACGTGAAAAGGTCAGATTGCCTCCAGGGACCCCGGCCTCTCTGTGCCCATGCCCTACTGCAGCCTCACAGGGTGGGAGGGTCTTGCCATCTGCTTTGGCCCGTGAGACATGAGCAAGCAGGATGCAACCAGAGGCTGGGGAAGCACTTGCACACTATGACATGTCGTCCTGAGATGCTCATTCTGGTGATCCTGAGCCACCACAGAGAGAGGTCCAGCCACCCTGCCGGTCACATGCAGAGAGAGCCAGGCCCGGCCACCACAGGTCCTCCCCCTACTGCAGCTGAGGTGACCAACGTGGAACCGTAGCCCCAGCAGGCACCACATGGAGAACCGCCCAGCCAGGCCCACGCAACCCAGGGTGGTGAAAAACGTTACAACACCGTTTTCTACACTCACGGGTTCTGGACTGTTCTACCAACAGGAAGCAGAGCCCGTCATAGGACGAACGTGCAGACGGGGAACGTGGCGCACAGAGGGGCTGGAGGGGGAGGGAGGCATACCATCACCTACGACCTGCAGGCCATTCTGAAGAGCCTCGGTCTTTATTCTGAGAGCAATATTTGAAGCAAGTGGACAACCTGACCAAATGTTCATTTTGAAAACCGTGCTCTGGCTTCCGTGTGGAGAATGGACTGAGATGGAAGCAAGAGTGGATGCAGGTGGCCTGAGAGAGAAGCCCTCCCTGCAGTGTGAGGCAGAGGCTCGGACCAAGACAGACGGCAGAGGCAGAAGAGAGCAAGTGAGAAAGTGAGAAAGGGTCCGCAAGGGCAGGTCACGCGTCATGTGAGGCACGAAAAGCATCAGGGTGTCTGGTTGGTGCGACTGTGTGGAAGATGGTGCTGTTCGCCGCGGGCAGAAGACCACGGCTGGGGCAACAAGAAGCACTTGGTGTTAAATGTCCAAGTTCTGGACGGTCTACAAACATTCACGGAGAAGGTCCAGAGCAGGGTCAGCCAGCTTCTTCTGGAAAGGACCAAACAGTAACTATAAGCGTGGCTCCGCAGGCTCCGTTGCAACCACTGAGCTCGGTCACTCGGCACAAACAGGGCCACAGACAACACGTAAGCGAACAGGCAAGGCTCTGCTGCACCGAAACCAGGAGGCCCGACTTCACTGCGGTTGGCCAACTCCTGATTTAGCACGTAGGGGAAGAGGTCTGGGACAGAGAGAGAGATCAGTGAGCCACTGCATCAGAGAAGTGAATCCTGCTGATACAACAAGGAGAAATGAAGGGGGCACGAGGCCTCGCCTTGAGAAGCACTGAGACATTTGCAAGCTGCTAGGGCAGGAAAAGGCTGGAAAGGACCCAGAAAAGAGGGGAGAGAGACAAGAGGAACCCGGAGAGCATATCGCTGAACCAAGACCAAGGGGGTCATCGAGAGCATGGACCGGGCTGAGAGAAGAGAGAGCAGGCTGACAACGGACGCCGGAGCGTGTCCTCCGCGAAGTGACAGCGCTGGACCGCAGGGTGGGTGGGAGGACGTGGGAAAGCTGCGGCAGGGGGTCTGACTGCCACACGGGAGTGAGAGAGCGTGACCCCAGGGGAGGGGTGGGAGGTGCAGGGCAAACATCCATCAAGAGCAGAAGAGACATGAGCCCGTGGAAAACAACGGAAGAACACGGGCTAAGGAGGAGACGGGCGGGGTCCAGCAGACAGACTGAAAGCACAAGGCTCCTAAGGCAGAGGAAGAGGAACCAGGGAACAGGCAGAAGAATGCTCTTCAACAGAAGATCCAGGTCCTTTATGCTACAAGGAGGGAAGAAGTCTCGGCCAGATACGGACACAGGCAGAAGTGAATGACCGGTATGGAGAAGGTAAAGGTGTCCTACGTGAGGACTTTCGTTTCCTTTAAAAAATAAAAGTTGAGGTCATTTGCTTCCGATAAAGGAAGAAAAGGGTGTAGTGAATGTTTGCCGTTTTTTGGGGTATCTGTCCTGAACCCCCTTCCAAGTTCAGGGAATTCTCCCACCTCAGGTCTGTGGGAAGCTGAACATGCCAGGTACATTCCTTTTCCCAGCCTCTTTGCACCTAAAGAGAAGGTACCTGGCACTTGGATCCAGAGGCATCTACTCTGAATCGCAAACTCTTAACCCAGAGAGGCAAAGCCCCCAGAGGTGGCAGGTGCACCACGGGCTAAGGTGACGGCTCCACCCCCCTGGTGGGGCAAAGCAGCACCTCAACTGGACCAGCTCCATGGCAGGGAGCTGCTGAACCTCCTTTATTCTCATTTCCCAAGCCTGATTCTGCCCCAATTCTGGGCATTCTGCACACCTCCTAATTCCCTGCTCCTGCACTGCTTGTTTTAAGAATCCCTTTCTGATTCAGTCAAAAGTTGTTTTATTTGCTTACAAGGAATACGCCTGACTGGTGTCCACAGACAATATACAAGGTCTGAATGCTCTTTAGGAAGAGAGAGAGACTGAGCTAAGTAGAAAAGCTTCAGAGAAGTGCGGCATTACTGGGGATACGGGAGAGTCAGGATGTCTCAGAAGGACACCAGAGCCAACCTGCTGTTCCTGAGACCTTCTGAGGCGGTACTCCCCCGCTGGAGAGCAGACAAAGCAGACGACGTTAAGGAAGCAACAGACAGGAGAAGCAATTCAAGGAAAAATGGCGTTTTTTAATTCCACGGACATGAGGAGGGGAAGGGGGAGCCAGATGAGGAATCCTGGAATAGCAAAAAAGAATGCAGCTTTGGGAATGACACATGTCTGAATTAAAGCTGTGTCATTTCTTCCTGGTATGACGAATCACTTCCTCTCTCTGAACCTCAGTGTCTTCATAACTAAATTGTAAAAAAAACAAAAACAACAACAGCCCGACCTAGCGTTCAGGATTACTGTGAGGCTGCCGGTGCCACTGCTTTACAGGACAGCCAGGTTTCAAGAGAGGAGACTGGGAGTGAGGACGATAGAAAGGAGACCAGCGTCAGGGAAAGATGCTCTCATCGGTTCAGCCGCGCGGGGACTGGAAGCAGTCGCGTGAGCAAGCCTGGCGGGGGGCCGGGGGCGCAGGCGGCCGCAGACAGGGGTCCCCGAAGCAAGGGGAGTGCAGATGGAGAAGCACCAGGGCTAACGGATGATGCTTCTTGTTTTCCTACTGAAAGAGACGTAAGTCTATTACAATATGCACAGGGGCATTCTTGTATATCTCTTCTCTTTTTCATTAAAATTTTCCTTACTTGAGTACAGCTGATGCACAGTGCTGCGTCAGTTTTAGGGATTACAGTTTGTGCTGCCGCAACAAGTTTATACGTTATGCTTCGCTCACCGCAAGCACAGAATGATTCTTAGGATGTCACGAAGCGTGAGGGTTAGGAGAAGAAGAGGGAGCGCATGAGAGGGATGGGGAAGTCATCGACCTGACAGGGAGGGGCCACCAGGTGCAGCGCGGCGTGCGTCACGTCATCTGTCAGCCTGAAATGTTGGGAAGAGGAAAACCAACGAAAAGGCTGTGCGCAGCTGAGATGAAACCCTCACCGTAGCTGACCACAGTAGTTTTAGTAAAACAAGACAGGGAGGCAAAGATCATTCATCTCAAAGTTTAAATTGGGCACACCTCGGAAATACGGTGGGATGGTTCTGGACCATCCCAACCATCCCAACAGCGAGTATTGCAGAGTGAGTCAAACGACTCTTCTGATTTTCTGATGCATGTAAAAGTGATGTTTATTAGACTATAGGAGACCATCACGTGTGCAATAGCATTATGCCTAAAAACACAATGTGCATGCTATAACTAAAAAATACTGTATTGCTGAAAAATGCTAACCATCATCTGAATTTTGACAAATCGTAATCACTGATCACAGATCACCATAACCAATATAATAATGAAAACATTTGGAAAATTGTGAGAACTACCAAAATGTGACACAGAGCCACATACTGAGCAAATGCTGTTGGAAAAATGGCACCAACAGATTTGCCTGACGCACGGCTGCCCCGAACCTCCCACTGGTCAAGGACGCAGTGTCTACGGAACGCAGTAAGCAAACCACCATCAAATGCTGTGGCCACAGTAAAGGAGAGACGGCACTAAGACAAAGGCTGGACAGAAGATAAGTCAATAGAAGAGTAAAGAATTGAGAGTAAAGTCCCCAAAAGAAAATACAAATAAGGACACAGGGACAGATGTGACAAAGACATCAATTTCTTCCCCTGAAACAGGAAGGAAGACATTGAAAAAGATACTTTGAGGAAGGAAGCCATCTCCATTTTCACATGGAGCAGAAGGCAAGGTTATTTATGGGAAGAAAGGGAAGGGTGCATTTGGGAACCAACAGAAAACATTCAAGACAAGTATGCAGAACTCATGTTTAGAAACAGTTCATCATTGTCAGGAAGCTGCAACTGAAACCCTATCACTTATCCGTTCCTTAAAAACGATTTTCAAGATAAAAGACATGTTGGGGACAGGGGAATTCGGGGTGCGGATGAGGGTACAATAAAGTAAGAATGGTTCTTAGCTGGTGATCGGGGCTTCCTTCGAGTCTCTCTACTGTGCTTGTTTGAAATTTCCCTACTGAAAAACTCTCTGAAATGTAAAGATTGCATTTAATTCGTCATCATCCTTATTTCTAAAATCAAACAAAGACACCACTTGGTAAATAAGGATAGAGGAGGCACTCGTTTCTTTTTATTTTTGAGAGAGAGTGCGCACGCACAGGGAGGGGCAGAGGGGGATAGAGAATCCTAAGCAGACTCCACGCTGAGCGCAGAGCCTGTGGGGCTTGATCTCACGATCACAACCTGAGCTGAAATCAGGAGTCGGACACATAACCGACGGAGCCACCCAGGTGCTCCTCTTACTTCTTAATAACATAAGCCTATCCATCTTCACTTTGTTGGGACAGAGACTGATAATGCAAGAGGAATGCCAGGGATTTCTGTCTTTTAAATTAACTCAGATCTTGCAAAACAGAACTTAGCAAGTCATTACATTGGAAGAGAACAACTGACAGTCCAAAAAGCAGCTATTAAAATGAACCAAATCTCCCAGCATGGCCAAACTTTTAATTCCAAAAATTATGAAAAATCTCTTTTACTTACATAAGAAAAACAATCCCAGAACTTCAGAAGAAATTGAGGAAATTTATGAAGAATCAATATAATAATCCATTCTATAAAATATTTTATGGATGCTTGATTATTGATGAAACCAGCCTGGAAAATCTTGTCAATAATTCTATTCAAGAAACTCTGAGAAAAATAAAGTTCATAAGTTAAACTGTTAGGTTAGGGTTATTAATTGCTTTATTTTATTGAGATACAATCAACATATAACACTGCGTAAGTTTAAGGTGTCCATCTGTCGATTTTACACGTTCACATGCATGTACCATAGCACCACCTCTAGCACATCACAAAATGATTTCTTTTTTATGGTGGGAACAATGAAGATCTAGTCTTGTAGCAACTTTGAAAATAGTTAATTGTAACTTAAAAACAGTCACCATTAAAAAGAAACAAATGAAACTTTTTGTTTTGTTTTTTGTGTTTTTAAAGTAATCTCTATGCCCAAAGTGAGGCTTGAACTCACAACCCTGAAATCAAGTCACCTGCTCTACTGACTGAGCCAGCCAGGTGCCCCCAAAGAGCTTCAAGTTTTACTCTAAGTAATTAACGGATCTACAACTCTCTAAACAGCAACCCTAAAATCTGTTTACTGAAATATAATGATGAGGTACTAAGTACTTTACACTCTACCTGCACATCAATTCTATGAGGAAGGTTATTACTCCGTATTTTTACAGGGAAAAGATTCAGGAAAGTTAAGTGTTTTCCTCAAAACCTAGCAGGTGGCAGAATTCAGATTCAAATAAGCATCTGCCAAAATGTCATGGGCTTATTAAACTTGGAACAAGAATGACGGATGCCTCTGTCTGCAGGAGGCAAACGAGGCCCAGGGGAAGCGGGGGGCGGGGGGGGGCCTTGCTTCTCTCTGTGGACTGCTCATCGCCCACCCATATAGCCTCTGAGACCTTGGAGCTCCCACGTCATCCCCTCCTCGCCCCAGGCTTCTCTTCAAAACTGCACTTCCATCCAACTGAACATATCCGAGTAGCAGGTAAAAATACATACATAGATCTACCTATATAAGATATAAAAACATACATACTATATACACCGTTCATTTGAAAGAACAATCTATCTTCAAGAAATTGCTAACTGGCAGAGAGGAGTAGAGCAGCTCACTTGGAGGCCCTGAGACAGCGCTGTAAAGGGCAGCACGGCCTCAAGGAGACCTGGTTTTCAATTCCAGCCCCACCATCCACCAGCCGTGTTCTGTTACAGGCAGGTCCTCACCTCCCTGAGCTGTGGTACCCGCTGGACTAGATGGGAATACCCATGCCTGCCCTGAAAGACCATGACAAAGGTGAAATGCATCCACCAGATACAATGATCTAAAATTCTCAGCAGCGGCTGCTCCATCACGGACATGCTAGTGCTCGGCTCCCCGACAAGCCCGCCTGCTGTGACAGGCCCCCCACCCTCCAACACGACCCTCTCTCCGGGGGCCTCTCCATTCCAAGGCAAAACGTGCTCTCAGTAACCTAGCCAAACATCTCTAAAGCACTGCTTTCCAAATGCATTTTAGAATTTAAGTGTACTATGTACAGTATTTTAAAAATCAAATAACATGAAGAGGCCTATGATGAAAATCAGCAGCCCCCACACATCCACTAATATTCCTCCCCAGAAAGAATGCTTTTAGCCATTTCTTCTTACCTTTATCCAAACAACTGATTTGGATATACTTCTATACTTCCAGTTACTGAAATGTTTCTCTCTTACAGATATAAGGCCTCATAAAATTGTATTAAAAAGAGTTTGGTATGTTTTTAAAATTCTCCGAAACATTTAAAGGAGAATAGGAGGGGAGGACAAGAAGAACCTGAAGTCAGAGGGAAACTTTTTGTATTCAAAAATGCTTTTGAAAATTGTGTGAAATATACCATAACTTTCACATAATGAATCTGTTTTCTTACCAGGAATATTACACAAACATGATTAGTAAAATCAGAGTCCATTCACCTGTTCCTTGCCTCCTCAGGGAAGAAAAAAAGGGAACTGTGGGAAAAGACTCTGTTGTAAGAGTTCGAGATCTCGGTCTTGGCCTAGCTGGTTTATACGACCACAGTATTCGTGAAGTTAAGGGGGCAAGAATCAGCCGTGGGAAATGACAATCTCATCCAAAACAAGAGCACTCCAGAGTAACTCAGCTGTGGAAAATTAGCAGCTCATATATGGGTATCGTCTACTCGCATGGCACACCAGACATTAAATAGTTAAAATGTTACTTATGTTAAAGAACGAGAAAAAGAAAAAAATATTAAGTGGTGCCGTGTAAACCAGTTTCCAATTCATTTCTACAACACCTAACTGCCTTAGGATTCTTTCAACTAAAAAAAAACACTCCTGAATAACTTCAATTTTAAGAGCGAAGGTATAAATTTTAAGATCACTTTCTCAATTTTAAGACAGCACATGCCAGTTTCTACTGTTTTTTCCGTATGAAAACACGATGCTTCGAGGGACCAGCAGTCAGAACTATACCTGATCAAAGCTGGGGAAAAGCACCAGCAGCGTCTGCCATATCCGGTTCTTCAGCCGGTGCTGCTGGGAGTTCACGTAGTACCGAGTTCTGGACTTGGACGCCAATTCATCCTGGGGTGGGGAAAGAAGCGGCACCGAATTACCTACCGAATCTGTGATCCATGAAAACAAAACCAGTGACAACTGCAAATTCAAAAGCTTTAAGCAGAGTACAGGAGCTTATTGCCCTCCCAAAGGCAGAAAGGAGGGTAAGAAAGACACATTCTTAAAAGCATTTAGTTTCCTTTCAAAACAATGAATTTTTTGTCTGCTTTTAAAATTAGACTATTAACTATAAAACTGTATTCGGTACAAAAAGGATTTGGAAATGTCCGTCTCTATCTTTGTGGCCACTTCAGGTGGGAGACTCGGGGTCACCGGGGTGAGAGGAGGTGAGAAATGGGACACAGTTTGCAATGCACCAATATAGGCACCGTGCACGTTGGCAGCAATGGTGTCTGTGGTCAGAGGTGAAGCCCACTAGGGAACCAGTGTGACCAGTGCCTGCCCCAGACACCAGACAACAGCAGTACGGAGCCCTGTCCAGAGCAGAGCTTGCTCTCTTGCCGGCGATGGGTCTGTGCGGTCTAAATTCGGCCAACTGCCACGCTGACTTGTGGTTTTGTTTTTTTTTTTTAAAGATTTTATTTATTTATTTGACAGAGAGAGACACAGCGAGAGGGGGAACACAAGCAAGGGGAGTGGGAGAGGGAGAAGCAGGTTTCCCGTGGAGCAGGGAGCCCAATTCGGGGCTCGATCCCAGGACCCCGGGATCATGACCTGAGCCGAAGGCAGACGCTTAATGACTGAGCCACCCAGGTGCCCCCTGACTTGTGTTCTGTAACTACTAGTGCTTAGCAAAGTTATGATGGCACTAAAGGGTGTATCATATTCAAATGTCCTAATGATGGAAAAAGTAGGTCATCCGCCATCTCCAAAACCACTGTCACCTAATGGCCCTAACGTAGACAGTTCTCATTACTTGGTAAATTCTGCGATCTTTCTTATTCTGTGATCCCATTCTATGCACTTCACTGTGTGTAAGATTTTATAACAATAGCTAAATTAACATAGGTTTTAATGACTCCTCCTCCTCACGATTCAAGTTTCACCACCAGGCTCTCTAGCTACTATTTCTTTGGGGACATTTTCTTCTGATAGAAGTGTTTCAGGTGTCATCTCCAGCTCAGCCTCGATGCAGCTAAGAATGGCAGCCTCACTGGGGCGGCTCACACAAGCATGGGGGAGCATCTGCACCCCAGGATCCCTGCCCTCGGGGCCTCACTGGAGTCACTGTCCTCACCCCACCTTCGGCTCAAAATCCTATGTCCTTTTAATTGTTCTACTCAATGTACTCTTTTATTCAGAAAGATCTTTCTTTTCTCTACCAGTCTATCAACCTCTCTAGTTTCATGCACCTCTTGACCCAACCTGAGCCCCAAGAATAATCTCTACGGTATCTTCAAGAGCACATTCCATTCTTTTCACTACAACCTCACACCCAGTTGCAAATTCCCTTCTTTGGAATCAACCCAGTGGTCTTAAAGATTCTGATCCTCCCTTCAAGCTGTCAAGACGGCTAAAGAAAAACCACCTGCCCCCACTGACTTCATTGAAAGTACGTGTTCTTGCTTCAGCTGGGCCCTCCCGCCGCTACACAAGGGGTCTCCAACTCTGTAGTGCTCAGAATCACCCCGAGGGCTCCTTAAAACAGACTGCTGGCCCCACCCCGAGTTTCTGATTCAGAAGAATGGGGAGCCCAGGAATCTGCATTTCCAACACATTCCCTGGTGACGATGAAGCCGCAGGTCCAGAGAACGGAAGAGTAAGATTCCACTCATAAATGGAATCTAAACAAATGAACGGACAAACAAAGCGGGATGAGAACCATCAGTACAGAGGGGAGGGGGCGGGAGGATGGGCGACACGGGCAAAGGGGAGGGAGGTGCGGGCCGCCAGCTAGGGAAGGAGCGCATCACAGGGCTAAAAAGCAGGGCGTAAGGAACACAGGCTGTGACGCCGGGACAGTGAGGTTAAGGGGGCAGCCAGCAGCTGTGCTGCGCACAGCATCACGTGCAGAGCTGTGCGATCATTGTGCTCTACACCTCAGACCGACGGGGCGTGTGTGTCACCTACACTCACACTGCGAGCGAACGAGCGTCGGTGCCAGTCATTTGCTCTCCTCGCGTCTCTTCCCATTCCCATTTCCACAAGGAGAATCTGAAATCTTCACTAGTCCCCTCAGGGCTTTAACCCCGTCCAGTCTCTTACTCTGGCTGCCCCTTCACTCTACTGCCCACTAGCTGGACCCCAGTGTGCTTCTGGAAACTCAGAAAATGCCCCCAGCTTCTGCCCCCAGTGCCCAACCTGCTCTCAGCCACAGCGGACAACACCGCCCACGGCCACCGAGACACCGCCTGTGGTGGCAAAGAACAGGCCTGAGGTTAGACTTTATCATCATGGACAAATTCATAGAGGTTCCTCTGCCAAATTTTCTACGGATAAGATTCTTCAGTGAGCGAAGTTAAGGTCATGAGCAACACCAGACCAACACCATCCAATCCTGGTTCTATCCTCACTTCTCAGACCCTTTCTCTGGTTCCCTTGCCTACCAATATACTTCAAGTGGTGGTGGTTCCCAAGTCCCCATTCTCGGCCTCCCTCTAGAGTCCTGTCCATATTCATCACTGGGCACGGTGGCTTCCATTTCTTTTCTAAATATCATATTCCTAGTTGCCCGTTACTGGGCAATTTCACATGGATGCCCAACAGCAACTCAAATGTAATACATCCAACGCCAAGTTATGTTCTCAGATCTTCTGTCACCTGACCAAAACTGGGGTAATTCAAACACTAATAATTATGACAGTGGACGGAAACACATCAATATGTTTAAGCTAAAAACAAAAAATCTCACTGATCACCTTCAGAAGGAACTAGAAGACACTAGGAAGCCAATTCATTATTTTCAAAACTGACAGATAACAGGAGAAGATCTAGCACTGATCCTGCCTTTCCTACAGGAAACATACCTCGGAGTTCTCTAAATACTTCGTATCTGGATACAGATGGATTTCAGCTAATAAACGAAAAAGGAGTAAAAGGATTACAGTATCGCCGTTCTGCTGCTGCTCTTAAAGAATTAACAGAATGAGGCAATTCACCAGTGACTAACACCCCAAAAGGACAGACAGTCAAATAGTCCACACTTCCTGACAGATGGACACTCTTGCCCCACCTCCACCCCCAAAAAGGACGAACAAGCCTACATGTGATCCAGGCTCTAGATCTCAACACCATCTTGTATAAAGTCAGGGATCAGAGAAACACCTTAAAAGGCACCACAGAAACTCAAATGGCAAAATCCAGACTGTGGAAGTCCCTAAGAGGAAAACAATCTGCTTTCTCCAAAACATACATTTCAAGTTTGAAACGAATGAGGGGAGTCTGCAGATTATGAGACATCTCAACCAACCAATAGCAGGGTATGGACCTTATCTGGGTCACTGTTTCAAACAAAGAAACTGAAAAAAAAAAAAAAAAGTAAAATAATCAGGTAAATTTAAACACTGACGATATTTGATAATATGAAGGAATTATGAATTCAGGTATGAAAAGAGTACTGTAGTTACAGCTAAAAAAATAATTCTTATCTTTTTGAGATACATACTGAAACATTTATAGATGAAACTGATGTTGGGATTGGCTTCAAAATAATGTGGGCTGGGGGCAAGTCAGAGGTATACCCCTCAAGACTGCCCATCACTGGCTGCTGCTGAGGCCGGGCCAGGAATGGATCCCTTCTAAAGCTACTTTTATAAAATATTTGCAAGTTTCCAGTACAAAGCAAACAAAAAACTACCTGCATGTGCCTCAGTAAAACCTAAAGAAAGGACAGTGGGGAAGACTGCAAAGGCCAGGAGCTGAGTAGTGCTCGCCCGCCGGGTGGCCAGGCCTCCATGCACCTGGAGGTCCTTGAAAATCGCTCCAGCCGGCCACCACCTCCACCTCCTCCTGGTTCACGCTCTCCATCCATGGACTCAAAACTGAACCTTGAAGGTGACACCTCAGGCACACAGGGTCGAAGCAGACACAGCCGTGCGTAATCCCCACCCCCTGTGGCTTCTGCACTCTGGTGGGAAAGACTGACTTTAAGCATTACCCTATATTAATTCTAACTGAGATCATTGCTACAAATTCAACCTTCCCCTCGGTTTTCAAGGCCAACCATGTTTCTGTCTCTTCCCTCTAGAAACGACCCTACTTCCGGGCTCAGAACACAAATGTCCCAGGTGTTCCCTCCCTCACACCGACTCACCGCCACCCGCCTGGCTCCTCTCTCCAGCTCAGAGGAAGAGGTCAAAGAGGTCACTCCTGACTACAGTGAGCTGGCCCACTCTGCTCTGGATGAGATCCTTTTCCACTTTCTCTAGGATTTTTCTTTCATTTTTCTTCATTTTCAATTTACCCTTTTATTAGTTGCTCTGCTCAATTTTCTTCATCTTCAAAAAACAACTGCTTGGCCTGAGCCAGTGTCTAATACGTAACTTTTCTGTCTTTGCTTTTCCATTTCCTAAATAAAGCCAATCCTTCTATTGGACATAAGAGCCAATCTAGACTACTCAAATATTAAAAAAAATATATATATAATTCACGTACCATAAAAATCACCATTTTGAAGTGTCCCATTCAGTGGGTTTAGGTATATTCACAGAGCTGTGCAAGCATCACCACTCTCTATTCCAGAATATTCTCACACTCTGAGAAGAAATCCTGTGCAATCGCTTCCCGATCTCTCCTCGCCCCGACCTGGCAGCTACTAATCTATTCTGTCTCTACAGATCTGCCTACCCTGGACACTTCCTGTAAATCACACGCTGGGTGGCCTTTTATGAAGGGCTTCTTCTCACTCAGCATACCGACTTCAAGGTCCCCCAACGCTGGTTATTTTCAGTCTGTCTGTTGTAACAGCCATCCTAGTGGATGCGAAGCAGCTCCTTGAGGATTTCGCCTGTCTGACCATTGCCACCCTCTCCTTAACCAGCACTTCTCCCCTCTATCGGACCGTTTCCTTCAACATACAAACAAGCCCCCTCCAGACCCCATCCCAGCCACTCCTTCTCATCAGAGCAAAGTCAAGAGGGCCTATATTCACAGTCTCCACTGGCTCCCCAACCATATGTCTCTCAGCCATTCCACTGAGGTTCTCATTCTCACCATCCCAGGAGAAGGTCTTTGTAGAGGTGACTAACGACAGCCTTCTTGAGGAATCTGACGGCCAGTGGGCAGCTTCATGTCCCTCCACGCCTCCAGTCAGCACCTCCCTCATTTGCCTGGGGACACCAGCCTTTCCAGGCATCCTCCAACCTTACTCATGGTGCATCCAGAGTTCCGCCCAATGGCACCAGTCAGAGTGGCCCTCCCTGACCCTATTCCTCCTTATCCTGCTTTACTTTGCTTCCACACACTCCTACATTTTTATCATGCATCAATATTCACTATAATACATTTCTGTGTTCTAGCTGATGGAACACCTGCTACTCTACTCATCCTTTAGGGAATCAGTAAACACTATTTCCTCTAAGATGTCTTCCCTGACTCCAGTGGTGCAAAGGGGGCATTTTTACATAAAAAACAAAACAAAACAAAACAAAACTTCCCAGATTGTATATAACTGGAGCTGACCTGCTACCTTCAGAAAATAAATGTATGATGAACACTGTTATTTCAATACGAGTGGCTTAAGTGGGGGCTACGGTCATCGGTTACATCCCAGTGTAGCCCAGAGGTGACAAAGCAGACCAGGACTCTATCTATCCCAGCTTGAAATTCAGAAGAGAGCACTGTATTTGACTTTACCCCTTCCTATCTTCTCCGCAGATTTATAAATGGTTTTGCATCAAAAAATACCAATTCTTTACATTATGCCACTTCCTAAATCTTTTACCTTTCAATTCCATTTCTTATACAAAATAACGTATGGATATATCACTCTAAACACAACTGCTTTTGACTGGCACTAGGAAATACACCGAGCAAAGTTTAGACAGTACAGGAAAAACATTCCTCTCTAAAACCAAACAAGCTGGACAATCACTAGTTAACAAAAGTTAACTAAAACTAGGGAACGTAAACCTCACGTTTCTTCCTGATAAAAAATGTTTAGGGCGCTTGGGCGCTCAGTCGGTTAAGCATCTGCCTTCAGCTCAGGTCATGATCCCAGGGTCCTGGGATTGAGTCCCACATCGGGCTCCCTGCTCAGTGGGGAGCCTGCGTCTCCCTCTGTCTCTGCCTCTCCCCCTGCTTGTGCTCTCTAATAAATCTTTAAAAAAAATATGTTTAGAATACATACTATGTCAACATATACAGCAAATGTTGGATTTTGACTTGTTAGTTGCATAGAAACAAAGTAAAATAAGGCATATTTACTTTATCTAATAGCTTGATTGCAAGATCTTCCATAAACAACTTATGAGACACATTTGAGCCATGTAATAAACACAGGAATTTGACAGCACAAATTCTCACATAGTGGTCTTCTCTTTTAGTACTAAAAAAAATGTAAAATGACAAACTATGTTAATACATTTTCAAAACAGAAAAATACGTCAAGCATTCGTTTCAAAATATCGAAACCTTCCAAGGATTTCTAAACTTAAGCAGCTTCATACTTAATGACAATGCTTTTTCAATTCAGGATAACAGAAGATAACAAATGAATATCTCAAAAGGAGAACCTGAACAGAGTCTGAGCAAATTCCTCCATACTTCTGGCAGAACAGTGCACACACTACCCATGTGTGTGACCAACGAGCTCTTCTCTGTAGACAAAAAAGATCATAGCTCATGAAACAATTCCTTACAGAAGACCATGGACACCTGACACCTGATGTCTTTACTGTGCGCAGGACACGGATGTTCTCCAGGTGCAGGGCAAACTCGGGAGCACCACAGGCTCTGAGTATCCCAGTATGTTCTGTGTCCAAATGTGGGAAGATCAGTTCAGTCAAACTGTTAACAAGTATTTCCGAAGTTCACGATAGCTGCTAAGATGTGAATAAACGTCTAACAACAAAACATCTGTCTAGTAGAAATCAAAGTATTTTGGAACCAACAACTAAAAAATTTCACTTTCATTGCTAAACTAAACCTGCCAAGAAAACAAAAAATCAATTAAAGCAATTAACTAATGAAAAATGTATATAGTTAATGAGTGCAAAATGATTTAAAACACAGCAATGACTCTCAGACTAACACTCTGTGATACCTATACACAATTATCACTTGTGTATTTTTTTATAAACATCTAAACACAAAAATTTTTGAAAATTATGTGGAAAAATAAAATGAAAAATACCTAGCTGACAAGCTCCAAAAAAATTAATTTAGAGGTTAGATAAGAACAGAGTTATCCTAGAAATGAAAACTTTAACATAAGATATTGAAAGAGCCTTTAAAAGCATGTTAGGAGTAATTTTATTTTTGTGTGTGGTATATTGACTTGTTACAATGGTGAACTGTGACTCCCCCACCAAAAAAGAATAACGTGTGTGTGCTGAAGATCAGCCCCTACCTAAAAGAAAGAGAGGAATGGGGTTTTATGTTCCCCATAGTCATTTTCTTTTTTTTAAGATTTTATGTATTTATTTGAGAGACAGAGCATGAGAGGGAGCAGCAGAGGGAGAGGGAGAAGCAAACTCTCAGCCGAGCAGGGAGCCCGACCTGGGGCTCGATCTCAGGACCCCGGGATCATGACCTGAGCAGAAGGCAGACGCTTAACCGACTGAGCCACCCAGGCGCCCCTGTCATTTTTTTTATTTATACTGGACTTGACACCAAAATTTTTTCCCCCAGAAAATTTTCATTTATTCCCATCAAGAATGTAGTAACACTGTAGAAAAACATCTCCCGATGTCATGTTACACTTTCTTCTCACTTTTTCTTCATCTTTAAAGAATTGTTTAAGGTTATCAAATTTTAGGGTGCCTGGGTGGCTCAGTTGGTTAAGCGACTGCCTTGGGCTCAGGTCATGATCCTGGAGTCCTGGGATCGAGTCCCACATCGGGCTCCCTGCTCGGCGGGGAGTCTGCTTCTCCCTCTGACCCTCTTCCCTCTCGTGCTATCTCTTATTCTCTCTCAAATAAATAAAATCTTTAAAAAAATAAAAAGGTTATCAAATTTTAGCAGAGTTTTAGATCTGAAATATTAGTAAGGGAACAGGATTTCTAACATGCCTTGAAGGCTCTTTCAATATCTTATAGAGATCACTAGTAAACATTTATTAAATTTAACAAATATAGGATGTCTGTCATCTGACGTTAAATTTTGAATATTCCATTTATATCAAGGTGTGGAAAATCCACCATACTTACTTTTCAATAACTGTGTTTGCTGCACAATCATGTCCGAGATTTTCTATGTAGGTCTGCACATCCTGAATAAGTCTTCCCATAAAAAATATTTGACAAAGAACAGGTTTTAGATGGGAAAAAATTAAAACCCCAAATTTAAAGTTAACTAATGTTTTAAATTCTTCTAATTGAAAGCCTCAAAATAAAGACCTAATTCTACACAAGTAGGTACTTAATATGAATCATGACAGGTTGAAACAATGGCATCTTTTACCTTTGATCACGCCTAAACACAGTTCCAAATATACAAGCCTCAAGGACAAGTTCGCTATAATTTTTAGCACTTGATAAAGATACTTGGGACACATCTGAAGCAGAAACTATCCAAGATTTGCAGCAATAACTTATGAGTGTATTGAAGACTCCAGTTTTTACAGCAGACATTTCAATTATCTTGTACATAATCTGGAATGAAACACAATGGTCATTTTATTCTTTGGCCTGTTCAGGTAAGGAAAAAAAAAAGTGTTGCTGAAAACTTACTTGAATGGCTTCAAATGACAGTTGCGACATAACCACAGAGTATAAAAAATTAAAAATTCTTTATTGTTAAAACTTTGTGAGATGATCAATAATCACAGAATGCTAATTTTTCATTTCTCAATAACAGAACTAAATAAAATTTTACCAATAGTGATACCCCCCGGGACTTTCCAAGAGAAATGACTGCCCAAAGTAACAGAAGAAAGGAAGGAAAAACATGCCCCTCTTGACATTTTCCGTCCTCTCTGCATTTCGCCAGTGCCCCCTTCTGCCCCCACATTCCCTGAGGCAGCAAAGACCCCGGTCTCCAAGTGTGTCCTGTGTGCAGGACAGCCGCGTAATAAAAGGACTTTATCTTCCATTCCCCCTTTGGATAACGAGGTATACATGAATTCCTAGGCATGATGGCATCCACCACGTCATGTTCCCTACTATCAGTGGTTGTAAATGCAAATGCCACCAAGAACCAGGAGGACCTTTTGCTAAGGTTATATTCAGAGAAATATTTCTCTGTACAAGAAAAGCAATAGCACAAATGTGGTGACAAATGGCACCTGCCATCTGCCTTCAGTATTCAGGAGTCAAGGGCTCGCTGTGGAGTGCGGAAGTAGAAGGGGCATGCCCTCTCTGGATGGGCAGCTCCTAGGAACGGCCGGTGGGCCAGGCCATCCCATTTTCCAACATTCTAAGAGAAGGGGAAATACAGATTTTCTTGCAAATTTCCCAATTCTTAAAGGTTGGCAACTCATTTAAAAATGTTTAAGCATTATATGCATCAAATAAAGTAAATCTGTGTGGCACGTGTGGCTCACAGGCTACTCTTCCATCTCACAGAGTTTGTTCTTACTCATGACACTGAAGAAGGTTCAAAATATTTGTGGACTGAATGAGTGAATACACAACAACAAATCTAGTATGTAATTACAAATAGAACTCTCTTCTTCCTTGTGTGCTACAGGTCACACAAATTAAAAAGAAAACAAAAAGTGACCTCCTTTGAATCTAAAGTAGTCAAATTCATAGAAATAGCAAGTAGAGAGTGATTACCAGCGGCTGGGGGAGGGAGGAGAAGAGAGTTGTTTAAGGGGTACAGAGTTTCAGTTCAAGTTAAGAAAGTTCTGGAGACCTGTTACAACAATGTGAACATACTTAACTCTACTGAACCGTACACTTAAAGACGATTAAGATGGCAAATTTACATTTTACCCCATTGTAAAAAAAAAAGTTACCTCTTTTATTTTGAAATATGCCTGGCCCTTGATTTTTGCAGCAATGGTAAGAACTTTGGTATCAAAAACAAACTGAACAAAAGCTTTTAAATTAGACCAGAATATCAGCTGAGTGTTGCTTAACGCAGATATAATTTTCCAAGCCATGTCAAAAGACTCTACACAGAGTGATTCAGAGGAGGTCAAAAGCTGGAAGGAGAGAAGAAAGAAAGAAATACGTAAGAATGACTTCATTTCAGAAACTGATCTCTGGTCCCACAGTTATTCTTCAATCCCCATCTCACTGCATCTTACCTTGGGAACCAGAACTTTCATGCAGTGGAACACAGGCAGAACCTGGTCTGAAGGCAGGACTGTGAGGGCTCCGAGCGCGGACTGCAGAGTCCTCACCGGCATCTGAAGAGCAGGCAGGATGGGCTCCAGAACGTCACCGTCCAACACTGGGATGAGGGTGTGATATTTTCTCAACAAGAAAGAGAGGCAGACCCACTGATCGTGAATATATTGTGCGACTATTCTCCCCCATCCTTGGGAAGCTGATGATTCTTCAAAAAAACTGAAACAAAACATACAGTCACCATCCCTTGCTCCTTCAAGTCTGGCTCAGTTCCTTGTGCATGGAGTAATGATACTTACAAGAAATCACAGTCACTGTTAAAGATCCCGGCCCACAAAAAGCAAGGAAACCACACAGACACCTCAACGTTCTAACTACTCTGAATGTAGGTCCTTTCCTTCCCTGTAAGTGATTCACTGAGAACTACATGCAGTAAAGTCAGTGGCTTTCCAGTAACAGAGATGCCATAGCTTCAAATTCCCATACCCTATAAAGACAGCTGGGCAATCACTCATCATCTCAATGACGAAAACAAAAATGAAATTTTAAACATTAGCAACCAGATGCCTTTCACACAGGTGCTGCCCTCCGGGGTGGACACACCTGCTCTGCTCCTCCACGTGGGGCTTCTGCAGCGTGTGGTTGAGCGGGAGAGAGGAGAGGAACCTTTCCAAGGGTCCGGCATCCAGAGAGTCGAGCTGTAGTTCTGGCTTCTGGTCGATAGCCTCACACACCATGGCCAAGGCAGCCATACTAATGACCCTCTGAATCTGCCCGGCAAGTGTCGGCTCCTGAGGGGGAAATGGAACAAGCTCTTAGTTCACGAGAGCCAATCTTGACCATCGGGACCTGAGGCCCAGCCGAAGGACGCCTCCCGCCCGCCTTCCCCTCTCCCTGCCTGCTACTGAACATCAGACGTGACAAATGGAAACCCAATATTACAGTCCTTCAGTGTCACCGTCTGTGCGATTGGCAGTGACCAAATTTAAAGTGGCAATAAAAATTTGGCAGTTCCGACTAAGACAACAATTTGATCTCTTCGGTTTGGCAGGGGGATTCCTGGACGTGATCCATGACCGAGCAGCTACATACTGAACATCCAAGGGTACGTGAAGCCCTACTTCTCAGTCTTTTTCCTACTCATGTACACATCTGGAGACACTTCTGTGGATGAATCTGAACTTTAACTGTTTGGCTGAATTATGTTAAAACAACAACAACAACAAAACCAAGGCTCCAGGCATCCATGTAATAACTCCTTCACCAGCTGTACACTGTTTCTGGAGAGGTGACACGGCCCCGCAGCTCAGAGCTCCTCACGAACCTCAGGGACGAGGCTGAACCCCGGCTCTGCACTTACTACAGTTTGGCTGTGGACACACTGCAGCTTAGATTCCTCACCTGTGAAATGGGGACAGTAAGAGAATCTACCTCAGAGGGTTACTGTGAAAATCACATAAATGGGTGATGTCATGGAAAGCACTTGAAACTCTACACGCAGGAACAAAAAGAAAGGAAACCAAGACAGCCTGGCTTCGTACTTGGAGAGAAAATCAACTGTGTCAAACCAAGAAGCCAAGAGTGCCAGCAGGAACCCACACTTTGAAAACAGCTGCATGGAGGGACCACGGGCAGTGCCACCACATACAGCCAGCCAGACACATCTCTACCCGAAATGAACTTTCTACTCCTCACTCCATACCTTTCCTCACCAACCCCCCTAAAATAAAGCAAGTATCTCTATGTATAAATTTTACATGGTAACACTGTCAACACAAGAAATAAAATTTAAGGGTGCCTGGGTGGCTCAGTTGGTTGAGTGTCTGCCTTCAGCTCAGGTCATGATCCCAGGGTTCTGGGATCGAGCCCCGCATCAGGCTCCCTGCTCAGCGTGGAACCTGCTTCTCCCTCTCCCTTTGCCGCTCCCCCTGCTTGTACTCTCTCTCTCAAATAATTAAAAAATCTTAAAAAAAAAAAAAGAAAGAAAATTTAGTATTACTTTTAGCCAATATGGTCCCTGTTAAGCTTAATGTAATTCAGTGAATTACTAAAACTAGCAAGCCATCTTTAAGAATTACTGTGATATGCTACTGGGTATTTACCCCAAAGATACAAATGTAGGGATCCGAAGGGGTACGTGCA